GTACTTACAGAAAAAATTAACGAACTTAAACAGGAAATGAATGATGTTAGACATGAAGTTAATGATGTAAAAAATGAGTTGAAGCAAGTCGACTATAAAGTTAATGAAGTCAGGAACGAAGTTCGAGAAGAACGTGAACGAAAAGTAGAAGAGATGGAAAAACGACTTCAAAATCTAGATTGTAAAGAAGCCCAATCAGTGATAACGACGATACGCGATCAWCAAAGACCATCAAAATTCAATGGAGAAAYTTCCTGGACAGCGTACAAGCACCAGTTTGAGGCAGTAACAGCCGGATGGACCGCTGAAGACAAAGCAAAAGCGCTGGTACTGGCTTTGAGGGGAAAAGCTTTAGACATTCTTCAGAGTATTCCTAAAGCAAAACAAGATGATTATGGCTTCGTTGTTGAAGCTTTAGAGAGAAYATACGGGAGCAATTATCTTAGTCAGGTTTATCAGAGTCAGTTAAAGACCAGAGTCCAAGGTGCCGGAGAAAGTCTTCAAGAATTTGGTGCTGAGGTTGAAAAATTAACTAGATTAGGCTACCCGACAGCCCCTYAAGAYTTTGTAAGCGAAATTATGATACAAACTTTTCGAGATGYAGTCCGAGACTCAGAACTGCAGCWGTCATTGCTTTTAAACCGACCTAAAAGCTTGAATGAAGCCATAATATATGGGCTTCAATTAGAAGCTGCTAAAAGTGCGGTCTCCATGCAACACCGGAACAGAATACGGGAAGTGAGGATAGCGGATAATTCTTCGACCGAAAATCTAAATTTAAAAGAAATTTTGAAGCAACTGATGGCAAAATTGGGTGAAATTGAAGACAAGAAAAGTGTTAAAAAACAGCAAATGAAATGTTACAACTGTGGCCTACTGGGACATCTACGAAGAGAGTGTCGACGACGACCCTGTATAGCGGAAGAATCAAGAAACTTTCGAGGTAGCGACCAGGGAAACGRCATGTCGCCAGTGTAAGGGGGCAAACGCTGGSGAATGAGGCTCAAGCCCCCAAAGAAAAGATCTCGTTCATAAGGCGAAAAACAGACAGCCTTATCGCTAAAGGGCTTCTAAACGGCAGAAGATGCGATTTTACAATCGACACGGGGGCTTCAATATCAGTTATAAAACCGCAAATGACACATGGACTCACAATTGATYAAAAACAAACAAAACCGATTTTAGAGACAGCAAAGGGAGATCGCATCACGGTGTATGGCGAGGTGACAYTCAGTCTRCAATTGGGACATTCCGAATTTCAAATGAAGGCAATTGTAGCAGATATAGTCGATGATTTCATCTTAGGGTTGGACGCTATGCGGGAATTTGGTATAATTTCTATCGACTTTGAAAACAACACGCTGCGAGTAGGGAAAGATGAAATTATCCTTTTAACACCATCGAAGAGAAGTGGAAAAATAAGGCTAATTCTCCCCGAAGATACAAAAATCCCGAAYAATTCAGAAGTTATTGTACCAGCTCACTTAGWGAAACTACCAGAGAGACGTGGTGCTTATTTGGTAYGGTCGACCAGGAACGTACACGAAGGGATTCTTTTAGGCAGATGTTTAGTTGAGTCCAACCACACAATACCAATTAGAATGGCAAACGTGACAAATAATGAAGTCACCTTGAAGAAGGGAGAAGAGGTTGCAGAGTGCGAGCCGGTTTTTCAAATTACTCACTGCGACATAAATTCACCGAACGAAAACGCACTATCGAAAGAACTTGTGGAAATGTTTAAGAAAAGCTGGAACCATTTGGACCGAAATGAAATGGGAAAAGCCCTTAAATTTATAAGGGAAGAAGCCGATATCTTTGTTGAGGGAAGGATAACAGGGAGAACAAAACTCGTTCAGCATCGAATCTATACCGGAGATGCGGCTCCGATAAGACAACCACCTCGAAGACTTCCATTTGAAAGACGTCAGGAAGTAAAAATCATGATTGATGAAATGGTGAAAGACGGGGTTATAGAAGAGTCGAGTAGCCCATGGTCATCCCCAGTGGTTCTAGTGACTAAAAAAGWTGGTTCAACAAGATTTTGCGTCGATTACAGAAGACTTAACAGTGTGACTAAGAAGGACAGCTATCCTTTACCCCGAATTGACGACACTTTAAACACTCTTGCCGGATCAAAGTGGTTTTCAACTTTAGATTTGAAGAGCGGATATTGGCAGGTAGAATTACATAAGGACGATAAGGAAAAAACGGCTTTTTCGGCGGGAAATGGCTTGTATCAATTCAATGTTATGCCATTTGGTCTTTGTAACGCTCCTGCCACATTTGAACGGCTTATGGAATTGGTTTTAAGAGGTCTAACTTGGGAAACTTGTTTGGTATATTTGGATGATGTGATTATTATCGGCAAAGACTTCGAAGAACACCTGAGTAATTTACGAAAAGTCTTTTCGAAACTAAGGGGTGCTCATCTTCAACTAAATTCAAAGAAATGTGTCTTGTTTCAAGAAAGAGTTAATTTTCTTGGACATGTTGTGTCTTCAAAAGGGATAGAGACTGATCCCGACAAAGTCAAAGCCGTACGAGAGTGGCCAACACCAAAGGACAAACAGGAATTACAAAGTTTTCTGGGACTCTGCAGTTATTATCGCCGTTTCGTTAAGGACTTTGGAAGAATTGCAAAGCCTTTACACCAGTTGACCGAAAAAAWGGTTCAATTTTGTTGGAGCCCCGTATGTCAACAATCCTTTAATGAATTGAAACAGCGTTTGACTGTAGCTCCCGTTTTGGCTTATCCACTTGATCACGGACAATTTATCCTGGATACAGACGCATCTCAGTATGGTATAGGGGCTGTATTGTCACAAGTACAGCAGGGCAATGAGGTTGTGATTGGATACTTTAGCAAGATTCTAGGAAAAGCTGAGAAAAATTACTGTGTRACTCGTAAAGAGCTGTTGTCTGTCGTAAAAGCCATAGAACACTTCCACATCTTCTTATATGGACGAAAGTTTCTCGTCAGATCCGATCATTCAGCACTGCAGTGGTTACTTAATTTTAAAAATCCTGAGGGACAACTCGCACGATGGATTGAGAAACTGCAGAGCTACGATTTCCAAATTTACCATWGAAAAGGAAAGAGTCACGCTTACGCTGACAGTCTGTCAAGACAACCTTGCGCGGAAAAATCTTGCAAGTTTTGTGAGAGGCAAGAAGTAAAGGAAACAAACAACCTAAAAAAACTTTCAAYAATCACGGCTAGAAATAAATCAGAAGATACAAACATGACATTTGATCGAAAAGACCTTCTGAAAGAACAAGAAAATGACCCCGATTTAAGTCTGCTAAAGAAGTGGCTAATGGAAGGTGTTAGACCACAATGGCAGGATATTTCTCGCTTTGGACAAAATGTGAAAGGGTATTGGTTACAATGGGATTCCTTACGTCTTAGAGATGGATGCCTTACTAGAGAATGGGAGACTTCAGATGGAAAGTCTGTGATACATCAAATAATTTTGCCCAGGAGTCTTGTGGATAGGATACTTCGGGAATTACACGACAYCCGAAGTGGTGGCCATTTTGGAGTGAACAGGACCTTGGCCWGAGTTAGWGATCGGTACTACTGGATCCATTGCCGTAAGGACGTTACCGAATGGTGTAAGAGGTGTGATATCTGCGCCTCAAAGAAAGGTCCTAAGACGAGATCACGAGGAAAAATGATGCAGTACATTTGTGGTACTCCTTGGGAGAGGGTAGCCGTGGACATAGCCGGACCATTTCCTGTGACAGAGTTAGGTAACAAGTACCTAATGGTGGCTATGGARTACTTCACCAAGTGGCCAGAGGTTGTGCCAGTGCCGAATCAAGAGGCCGCCACAATAGCAGAAGCATTGCTACAGAATGTAGTGGCAAGGCATGGTGTCCCGTTAGAAATCCACACTGATCAAGGAAGAAACTTTGAGTCGGAACTCTGGACAAGTTTAATGAAGATGTTGGGAGTTAAGAAAACACGAACAACCCCACTTCATCCACAGTCCGACGGAATGMTGGAGAAACATAACGGTACCATTAACCAGTACCTGTCAAAGTTTATCGACGAAAATCAAAGAAATTGGGACAAATTAGTACCGCTGTTTCTCTTGGCGTATAGAAGTTCCCAGCATGAAGCTACAGGTTATACTCCAGCGATGTTACTAACTGGACGAGAGCTAAAACTCCCTATCGATTTGATGCTAGGGAAACCACCTACGGAAGACGACGAAGAGCAGC